GTTTTATCTTGTTCAAGGTGAAGTAAAACTGCCATAAAAAAAAACCAAACACTGTCACATTTCCATATCTGTGCTAAGGGAATATATGAATCATAATAGATATAAACTCTAAACTGTCTTGCGGTAATGTTATACATATAAAATAAATTTTGAATGTTAAACAAGAATCTTTGAGTGTGAAAAAACCAGGTGCTCCAACCAGAATTCAAATCTGGGAGCTTCTGCTGGGAGCTATGCAGACGCCCTAATAACTAACTGGGTCATTGAGACTTTGTTGGGAATTCAAATCCGATTAAAACATCAAATTTTTCAGACGCATAGGTAGCTGGACAGCACTATGTATATTACTTAAACAACAGAGCAATGTGTGCCTGCCACAATACCAAATTCAGAATTAACTAATGAATTGCTAAATTGCTTCCTAGAAGGAAAACTATCTGCACATTATCTCTTATAACCAGGTGGGATGTTCTCACAGTTATCAAGCTTTTACATTAAATTAATATAATTCGGAAACACGATGAATTGAAGATAACAAAAGAAATAATCTTATTCCTCTAGGCGTTGGAAAGATGTCACGGGTAAAATTAGTAGCATCCGGAATAAAGCTGCAAATTATCTTCATAAATTAAAAAAATTAATTTTACTTGGAAGATGAATGCTTCACCTGAAGCTTTCTCCAAACTATCAAACTATATTAGACAAACACATGCGACATGCCTATATATGGTCATGTGAGATCACATCATGATTTTTAGGATATTGTACTAGAAAACGCAGGAGTGTGTGTGGTCATCATTACCATAATTAGGCATTTCACTTGGATTTTTTTGTCTAATCAGAATTTATTTGACAAAAACAAGTGACATACCTAAATAGTGCTTAATGCATTTCAGTTTTAAGATATATTGCTACTTACATCTAAATATTAACTTGAAAATGAAAAGTAATTAAATAAATAAATAAATTGATTAATTTGTATATTTCAGTAAGTTTTTAGCTTTAAACTTAAAAAACAAAGGAAGAAAAAAATACTTCCTCATGATTTAATAGATAGCATATTAAAAAACACATTTATTTTATTTGTTAAAATCAACAACTTAATGAACAATTCAAATTGGGATTTTATAATCAATTTTATTTCTGTCATCATCATCATCTTCTTGTTCATAATCATCACGCTCCATAACAGGATCTTCATTATTATCATCAATTTCAACATAATCATCATCATTCTCCACTACCATCATTCACACACCATCCACCCGACCACTTGATTATTTTGTGTTCATATGATAATGTTTTTAACATCTTACAGTACATCTCTGTGTAAAAGGCCTGAAATATTTTCCATATTAATATAATTATTATTAAGTTGTATTTTGTGTAAAATATGGTGTTATTATGAATAATAATTCACTATACGATCGATCAAATAACAACAAAATCTGAGATCCAGAAAGGTAACCAGATCCATCCAAAAAACATATTTTTTTGAAAACCTATAAGGTTCTTGTATTGGGTAACATGGTTTCCAATTATTAAATGGTAATCTTTCTATTCACACCAGGTAAAAAAAAATCATCATATTGATGAAGAACTTGGAAAAGCAGGTCTGTGTGAACCTAATTGCACTGGATTTGTATTGGATATAAAAAGAACGATGACATTGGTTTAAAAAGTGAGCATAAAAAGGGGGAGGAGCAAACTACAGCCAATCAAAATGCTCGTACATATATGTATTAAAATCTAAAGCACTTTCACATGCACTAGATAATGTAAGTATCAGAAAATTTAACATACCTCTTTTTTGACTGGGATCTCCCAATCTTGAGATAAGTTGAAGGCAAAATTTGATAGCACCCTTAACTCACACTTGATCTGGACCCAGCCTGGGCTACGCATGAACGACCATGGATGGTACCATTTCTCAACAATCTGTTCACATGAGCAAAGACACTCCAACCACAAATGAAGTGCTTGTTCACTGTAATAAATGCAATATTATAATCATTAATACATGATATAAATAATAATAATAATAATAATAATAATAATAATAATAATAATAATAATAATAATATAACCAAAAAAATATATTTTCCCATAAGCCATGTGAAAGAAATAACTGGTCATTTTATTTATCCAAAAAATGTTCTGATTTTTTTAATTTGTATGTTTTCAGGCAAGGTCAAAGTTTACTACAACTTGCACATGCTCTGTGCTGTTCATACTTACAGTAGTTGATGGATACTGCAATTAATAATTAGTGAATCAGAGCATTATATTAACAGGCCTATGTATTAACTATTACTCTAATGCATCGTACTATATTTCACAACAAAGGATGGGTTTGACCTTAATTTGACCTAATTCACAACATTTCTCAATGTTAAACACCATTCAGGAGTGGAGCCAAAATTTACTGACAAAGTGAGAAGGAAGGGTGGGGGGATTTCCCACTAACGGTCTTGGTAACTATGACAATTATGGGGTTTCATAGGCTAATATAATCAAATTTAGAATCTAATATGTAAAAAATACACATAGTGTACAACGAATTTATGTTTTTCTCCCGGCAGACTGCTCTCGAAGACCTGTGGAACTTGGCGCCACCTCGGTTATTACTTGGTTCCAAGGTATACATATGTTAGAAGATTGACAGCTATGTTTAAACACCAAATCCAGTGTTTACTGTTTACAATTCATATTATTAATTTCTAATTCAATCTTTCATAGAAAGGAGATATTAATCAAATAAAGCAATCTTGCAGGAACACAGTAGTTGCTGTATCTATGGAATGAATTAAAATGGAATCGTTTGTTGTTTCGCAAAATCCAATGATTGATAGATGAGCTAAGAATGATGAAGCACACTATCGAAAATGTCAAGACTTTAGCAGACAGCTCTCGTCAGTGGATCTGCTGGGTCGCCATCTATAGTTGCAGCACTATTCTAGCGCTAAAACATCTTGATTAAAAGCAACAGCAGAAAAATAAAACTATTGTTACCATGTACATTTATGGAAATTGCAATTACAGTTAATACCAAACCATACTAATTGTTGTGGTTGTAAAATTAAGGATGAGAAGTCAAAATCAGCTGTCCCATGTCAAAATTACGTTAAACTGCTTTTATATGCTTTGTTAATTTACGTTGTTTTTTGGTGGAACAGGAAAAAGGGCAAAGTTGTCATATCTGTGGCGTGTTACAATGATCCTTCTGGAGCAAAAACCAGTAAATGAATAAATAGATGACTGACATACTCTTTGTGGTAAAAAATAGGAAATACCTATGATATGCACATTTATGAGCAGGCCTAGAAAAAATATTTTTGTGCCTCCAACCATGAAAATTATCTAGATGAAATGCCACTAGGACCAAATACTATCTTTACACTATTATAGCGAAACAGTAGTACATTTAGTGGTTTGCAGCAAGCAAAAATATTAAAATTAATTATGCATTAAATTTTGATGTGTAAAATGACTCCAGGTTAAAGGTCAATGTCTCCAACAGCTGTTTGGTTCCCACATTTTTTTCAGCCCTGTTTATGGGTATGATGATATTATACACATATACCAAAAAAAAAAAAAAATGAAAATTGATTTTTTAATACATTCGTATTCTCCATATTGTAAGCTTTCAAATGATGGGTATTTTCCTGATATCGACTTACTATTGCCAAAGTTAAGAGTAAAAGTACGGCTTCTCCGCATGACTAACAGTTTAACAAACAGCGACCGTACGCTGGTTTCAGGATGGCAAGCTTTATATGGGCAAATCGCATGAACTATCACATGAATTTAGTGTGGACAGCTTAAGGACAGCATACAGCATATCAACTTTTAAAATGTATTAAATTTGACAAAAATATAATTTCATTATATTGTAATAGCCAAGAAATAATGTATACAGTCTAAACACTGAATTAAGATGTTACTACCAAACATATGTATCTTTTGATAAGACAACATGTACCAATTTCACTATGTTTAAAGCTACAGGAATAACATATTTATGGCCAATGTAGCCTAAGGACAGAGTAAATTGGTCTCTCTATTAATATTGGGCCAGTACATTCCCACAACTTTTCTCCACTATTAGGACACTACCACCATATTGGAATGCTGCAGAGCTGACACAAAAAAAGAATTTAATGCACAAAAAATGAGTAAAACGGCAAATAATGATCTAGCTATTTAGACCGTTATCCAAACATTGATAACAAATGGACGTGTATGCTAAGGATAGCACGTACCAATTTTTCAGTTTTCAGAATGTATTGACAAGAATAGCATTACGGCGAAGGCAGTAAGAAGACAATCAGTATATTGGTGTTGTTGTTAATAGACGATAACACAACAGTGATTCCTACAAACTTGTCTCAACTAATAGGACATGTTTTGATTTAAGAATGCTCTAAAGCCGACAGGAATCGTAGCACGTCTGAAGTTTGTCCAGATGACGAAGTAAATTGTAAAACTGTCTTCATGAAATGAGATGCATTATTAATAACATCATATTGAAATAAACAACCTTTATATGAGGCTTAGGATTGTGAGAAAATTCAGTTTTTGGAATGAATATGAATGCATGACCTGAAATTGGAGGTGACAGTGGAAAGGTTATGAGCTTACGTAACTCAAGAACTTCAGTCAACCCAATTGGATGAATCAAACAGATCAAATACTCTTGGACAAAATGTACAAGGCACTTATAAAAAAAAATGATATCCTTTTGAGATAATTTATATGTTTTTCTCAATTTATAATACAACATAAAACTTAAAAGCACTGGATTATTATCATTTGCAGAAAATATCATAAATATAGAAATATTGCCAAATCATCTAATTCCTCATTCGTCAATGGTTACTGATGTTCTCGTGTTGATTTCAGCTAATGCGCTCCGAAATCCATGCATATTCTCTTACCGAGGATGTCCATAGTCGTATATCATAATAAAAAACTTTAATTGGCAGTCTGGTTTATCTTCT